GACATATTAGGCGGTATATCTTACAGGCACAGTTCGATAAGTAATGACACGTATACCTATACCATCGTAACCTACACCGACTGAAACGTTATATTTCAAGTCTATTTCTTTACAAATATTAATTAGTGAATAGTTGTAGTATGTTTTCGTTTCATTTTTTTTTTTATTTCATTTCGAATGTTTTGTTCTAGAATTAAAAAAAAAAATTTTCCCTCGATAAAATTAATGCCAAATGTTCGACGATTCCTATACTACTAAGGTTTATATTTACAGGAACCTACAAATATCGAGTAAAATAAAGATACATCGCTGTGAAAAGTTATCCAAGTACTCGTGGTATATAAAAGCCTTTTATATACCACGAGTACTTACCCGACAACTTTTATATAACATCAACGTTGATACATCTCGTTAACGCACGTACAAAATTATAACCAATGTTGTCATATAAGATGAACTTGATCCATTCGTTTACTCGGATAAATCAAAAAGAAGGAAAGTTGAAAAGCTGATAGAACGCAACCCATAAAATTTGGTATTTGTATAAATTGATCGTTGAGTAGACATCCGTATGCGAACCATTGGCAGGATACTATCGTAGAGGCCATTATAACTGGAAATGGTAAACTTTCTGTTGTTTTCATTCTTATTACGTGTGCCTGTAACAAATTTACAATCGTTTCTTACTACTTCTTACTACTTACTTTTTTTTTTTTTCCAATATAATATCGACGAGATGCGTATTTTTCAATTGACAATTTTATTACTTTATGTATTTGATAGCTCAAATTTGACGAGCGAAAGAGTATTGTTACGTACTTACGAGAGAAATTAATGGTGATGCGAAGAATAATATAGTCAAGCTGCAACTCAGAAATCCTATATATTTTTCAGCCAAAACTCTATCTTTTTGATAAATGCTGTAGAGATAGATAAGTAGAACCAAACAAATTGCTACTGTAAATTGCTTGATAGTAGTCGATCTTTTCACGTTATATAAAATATAAATTAATATATAACATATCTGTAATAGCGTGCCAAAAATATTTACGGATATAATAAATACATCTCCGATGAGTATCCCATACCTCAGCCACAA